GTCAAGACCACCTTTGTCAAGTTCAAGAACAGAACTAGTTAAGACAGAGTCAAGACTGAGTCCAAATGAGAGAGACAGAGTTAAAACCGAGACACTGTCATTGGCAAGATCAATGAACAAGTCAGAGTGAAAATAAAAGTCCAAGACATCCTGAGTCCTGACCTGACTGGAGTACTACAGCAGTGGATGTACATTAAAGCAGCTATATATAGTTATATGATTCATTGATCTGATTGGTTGAAGTTTGTGATTGACAGTGATAGGCAGGGGGTTCATTCAATCACCTGCCAAGTATTTTTTGAAAGTGCCTCCCCTTTTCCAGTTTCTAAGAACGACTTTGTAGATGGTCAGTCAGGTTAATGTGTTAGTAAAAAAGAACATTTCCACACTATCCTAATTATTCAGTCTATTCTTGAGTTCTATATAACACGTATTATATAAGTGCAAAAAAATGTTTCAAGAATTAGTTTTTAGTGAGTAGAATAAAAACAAATGACACTTTTTTAAATTAAGTATTAGATTCAATTCTGCAACGCGAAGATTCCTTTTTTGTAAAAACATTTAATTTTGTATTCAAGAAAACAGATAATTAATTCAACATAAAGCGTGGCAAGAGGGTGAACTATTAAAAGTCAACATTTATTGTTTATACAGTACAAGTCATGTGACCACAAACAGACCCACAGTTTATTTATAAAAATGCATTTTATTCATAGGTTTTTATACCAAGAACATTTAATATTAGCTTTAAATGACATTTATATTTGTATATTGTTAACTTAAAGGTCCAGTTTAAAGGATTTATTGGCAGCGAGCCAGTTGCAGATCTTTTTTAAAATAAGCATGGGTGCTAACATGCAGTCAGTGCAGAAGGTGGCTAATAAATTGCACAAAATCACTGCACACTAGTGAGGTAGAAGCTTCCATTGATAAATCCTCTCCCTCACTGACATTCATCTACACTTCATAAAGATTAAACTTCCTGTTCCAACACTACATTACTTTTTATTTGATGTTTTTTCTGCAAATCACTACACAACCTCATTTGCATTAAGTTACTTTCAATTTGACTCTTTTTTGTGTAACTGGTTAGTTTCATGCCACCTACTAAACCACAAAGATTAGAGAGTCTCTTTATTTGAGTCCCAGGAACTTCAATTTCTATCACTCCACTTTGAGTGAGTCTTTACAATTGGACACCAGCTGGTAGTCACACTTTGGTATGAAACAGATAAAACAACGGAAACTTTAATAGTACTTTAATATCTTTAACAAAAATATTTAAGATGAGATTAACTTAAAGTAGAAGTAGTAAAACGATCTCTAACGTGAAGCTAACTGAGAGCCGTAACGTCTCATAGGTTGTTACAGGAACAAACTGGTTTCTGTGTGAATGTGACTCCTTCAAACCACTGTGTGTTCACCTGTTGACCACTGAGAGAGTCAATGTGGCGTCGACAGCGTTGGAGCTACAGCTGATGCAAACTAACAGTAGAGTACAGAGGAGGGGAAGCGTCTTAGGTGCGGCTGCCATCCGAGCTCGCTTCTGACCGAGGCACAGAGTAGATGACGTTATCTGCATCACCACTGGGGGCGCTGTTGGGCGAGGCAGTTGCACTGTTGGGGAAATCCACCTCAGAGTAGGTGAGTTTACTCAGGTCGTCTTCAGTCTGGAAGAAAACAATCAGAGGTCAAAGGTTATCACTTACTGACTGGGTTATTTTAGGTGGGTTTTTTCCTGGGATGTGATGTGGGCTTAAGAGGAAATCATCATCTCAGTTTACATCAGTCGTCTTTGGATGTGGGACAGAGAAACAGCTTTTGTGAAATGTGTAAAAATCGAAATTATTACCACATCAAGTTATATTAGTGGATGGAGCCTAAATGTGTTTTGAGCCTAAATCCTAAAATCTGACCATAGTTTTCACTCACTTTGTTCTGGGGACCGGCTGCAGTGATAAGACTGTACTCATCTGTGGTTTCAACTGCATTTGGTTTGGAGTATTTGGCGTAAG